CAAATCAAATATCCTTTTTCAAAATCGTCTGTCTCGGCACCAAATTTCTTAGATGTGAATAAGTTTTACTTTTGCATAAAACTGAATAACATACTCGTTCTGCACTGAGATTCTGTGGTTGTTAAGGGAATCTAGGAAATTTTTCTTCAATGTCTTGTCTTGGTTCAAACCATTTTTTTTGTTTAAATCTTCCAAGGGGAGGGAGTTGGATTCACAGTGAAGGTTCAGACTATAATTTTAGGATGCATTTCCTTGACATCATTTTTTCAAATTTGTTTAGTTACCTGAGTTTGATGTTTCCTTAGGATGCAAGTCTTGTAAGTTTTTCTCATTTCTATTTTTATTTTGAATTTTTAACGATGTGTATTTTTTCTTCTTGTAACGACCTATTGCTGTTTCCTTACTTATCTTTAGCCTAATGTTTGCAGTTTAGAGAGGGAGATCGGCCCATCGCACAAGAAAAAGTTTGTCTGCTCAGTCGAAATAGGGAGCACCGACGCTACATTTTTCAGGGTTGGTGGGAAGAGGTCTCACGTACTCAGTGCACTCGGAGAAAAAAAGTCGCGCATTAGAGATGCAGAGAACTCGGCTGCCTATGCCATGCTTTGTAGTCTGAAAGATGAGAATGCCATTTGATTCTTCTTCTAGCTAGCTTTTATATGAATAGCCTGTGATGGCTATCCTCACATCTGAATGCCCATTGTAATTTCCTACTCCAATTACATTTGTACCTTTATATATATGAATAGATAAGCTCTGACCTTATCCTCACTATGAGAATGCCTATATATTCTTTCAATTTAAACATTTGTGTTTAGGAGGCCTACACTAAGCTCACCCTCTTTTAACTCACTTTCTGTGAAAATCCTCTTTACCAAACCAAACACATTAAAACCCTCTCTATTACTATTCCAAAGAAAAGAGAAGTTTTTTGAGAACTTTGACAAAAAAAGAAAAGAAAAGAAAAGAAAAAGCAGTGTGAATAAAAAAAGCCCCTGCAACTTGCAATCGCCAAAATTAAAAGAATTAGGAAGACCCAACACTTGATAGTTAATACATTCAGTCTTTACAAAATACTCTACAACATAAGTTCATTGTTGCTAAGAAATGTTACCAGACTTTATACCTTGAGGAGGGTTGAAGGATACATGTCCAATCTCAACTCCTCATCTCTTGGCCATGCCTTCTAGGACAAACAAGACCTAGAAATCATAGTTTGTTGTTTTTTTACAAAGTATTAAACAAGTCGTACCTTGCTGGATCAAGATAAAAATTTCATTATTATATTGAGCATGGTAAGACCACATGCTTGCCATACATTCTCATTTCTGCAAGTCTGCGAAGTTAGCATTTGTTTATTTGCTCTTTCATGTAGAATGCGTTACGATTAGTACATTTACCAAAATCGAAAGAAATATGTTTGTTGGTTTCAAAATTGATACTTTTATTTACAAGGTAAATGATAGATTTCTACGCAAATATTCACAAATATGCTCGAGTGTAAACAGTTAACAAACAATCAGTTCACACAAGAGAAAAAGGTTTAAAAAAACTCAATATTTTTGTCAAACTTCTTTTCATTCAAATTTTGGTAAATGATCAAGAAGACGGGTAAGTGTAATCAGACTCTCGATTCATTCAAGAAGAAAGAGTTAAACAAACTCAACATTTTGTTAAACTTCTTTTCATGAATAAGAAATAGCTGAAAATATAATCTAAAGAAATATGTTTTTTAATTTATGTAGATAAAATAAATTTATCCAAATTTAAATTATTTTTTTTAAATAATTATCTTGATTAGTTATATTAAAATTCTGTAGATAAAATAAATTTATAATATGTGGAGCTCATTATTAAAAAAGAGACCGTGAGAAACAAACTAAAGTCATGTAGGAAAGTTAAAAGAAAGTAATGTCACATTAAAAACAAGTATGAAACAAATATGAATATAATTATAATACTACCAGCTAAAATCAATTTAGACCTCAATGAAAAGAAAATATTATGTAAGCAGAGAATGTCTCTTGTTCTCCAAGGCTCCATTTGGCATCGGTGTTAGAAATTAGCGTTAGCTTTTGAAAAGAGGAATTAGTCTATTTATTTGCTCTAATAAGACTGTGAGAATACACTGTTTGGCGTTTCGGTTGACATTTATCTCTATTGAAAAGTATAATTCTTAAGTGAAATTTGCACTAAATAGTACTACCTCCGTCCCAGAGTATTTGTCCATTTTAATTTTTACACACCATCCAATACACTTCTTTAATCTATTTTATCTTGTAATTTGTATATTAAAAAATTATAGAAATTATATATTAATAATCTATATGTTAAAACAAATCAAACAAGATCATGACTATATTTAGGCTTACACATTGAGAGAATTTGATGAGTCAAAGTGCTTAGATGAACAGTTCCAAAAGTCAAAACTGGACGAATATTCCGGGACGGAGGGAGTAATAAAATATATGTCTTTTCACAATGTAGTATATAAACTCTTTTATTCCGTAAATAGTACTTGAATAATGTCTAGTGATGAGAATAATGTCATGTAATGTTGGATACTTAGTTTGAAAAATGTCTAGTGGCGGTGGATATTTACTTAAACAAAATGATCAGTAGACATTGAACAGTGGTACTACATTGGGAAATGCTACTACATTAGACAAGTCATTATGTTTTAATACTATTTAGGAAAATTCTGCAATTTGTAATGACTTTGCAATGGTTCTCCCTGATTCTCCTCCACATTATCATTTTTTAAGGTTACATCATTTTTTTTCAACTTTTCTCCTTTTTATCCTTACTAGTATCACACCCGTACGTTGCACGGGTAATTTTTATATTATTAAATTCAAATCATTTTTCAATGATAAAAAATGGGATGCAATAGAATATATCAATATAGAGATTATATTATTTTAAGATACAAAACATCACTGCTTTACAAATTTCGAAAGACTTATTTATAGACTACATTATTTGTACAATTTGTGGGAATATTGTCTTCATTGCATATCAGAATCTTCAACCCATTACGATTAGTTACTTTTAAAACTGCAACATACAGTTGTCTATGACTAAAACACGTTAGATTATTGTTACGGAAACCTGTGATAAACCCTAATTGTTCGTAGCTTCATCATTAACATTGATGACCTCTCACCAACATTTTCAAAGTAGTTAAGATCCACATTTTTCATAGGAATGACAATTTTAAAACGTACGGGAAAAAAACTTACGATGAATGTAATGACTTTGCTTTTGCATACGAGGATAAAAAAATTTATTCATTTTTCAAAGTGCTATAACGAATTTAAATTACTATTACTATATTTAAATTATTTAATCTATTATATTTAAAATTACTATAATTAAAATGACACGATAATTAGTACAGAGTATACAATTATCTAGTCACACAGTTATATAATTAATACCTTGGTTAATTATTACCTTATCTGATTAAAATTATTATAATTAAAATATAGTAAAATATAGACATTAAAAAATATAGCTACTATAATTAAAGTATAGCAATTATAAAATTACTAGTATAACATTACTATAATTAAAATTACTATAACTAATTTGATACAGTAATTAATATACAATTATGTAGTCACATGGATATATAATTAATACTGTAGTCAATTATTACCTTTTTTTATTATTACCTCTTGCTAGTATAATTCCGGATAGTTTAAAAATGACAATTAATTATGGAGTATTACCTTTCCTGGTTATTACCTTTTTTGCTATTAAACGTTTATATATATATATATATATATATATATATATATATATATATATATATATATATATATATATATATATATATATATATATATATAAAGGATATTTAATTCTTACAGTAGTTATAGTCTATTTTATATTACTATAATTTCGAACACTTTAATTTCTTACCATCTTTAAATACTTAACAATTACTATTACTAAATTTAAATTATTNATATATATATATATATATATATATATATATATATATATATATATATATATATATATATATATATATATATATATAAAGGATATTTAATTCTTACAGTAGTTATAGTCTATTTTATATTACTATAATTTCGAACACTTTAATTTCTTACCATCTTTAAATACTTAACAATTACTATTACTAAATTTAAATTATTATAATTAAAATTACTACAATTAAAATGACACGGTAATTAATGCGGAATATACAATTATGTAGTCACACGTTTATATAATTAATACCTTGGTTAATTATTAAATTTCTTGATTAAAATTTCTATAATTAAAATATAATAAAATATAGGCATTATAAAATATAGCCACTATAATTAAAATATTGCCATTATAAAATTACTATTATAAAATTAATATGGACTATAATTAAAATTGGTGAGGTTCCGTGGCCACAGGATTCTAGTGGCCATGGAAGCCACTGCCCCCCTACGAAGGTGTGTTCATAAAGTTGATGATTTAAAGTCAAAACTTTTGACTTTAAAGTAAATTATAGTTACGGGGTGCAATTGACCTAGGTGGGGGGATGACTTGAGGTCGGGACTCAGCGGGGGTTTATCGGGGGGAGGGGGGTAGAAATCATCAATTTTATGGTGAACGGAGCTCCGTAGGGGGGTAGTGGCTTCCGTGGCCACTGGAATCCAATGGCCATGGAACCGGATCGAAATTAAAATTACTATAATTAATTTGATATAGTAATTAATACTCCGTATATAATTATAATTATGTAGTCACACGTAATATTCGATTTCATTAATAGCGTAATATACAATTTTATAATTAAAATTATTATACTTAAAATTACTATAATTAATTTGACATAATAATTATAATTTAATTACTATAGTTAATTTGACATAGTATTCACAGGTAAAATACAATTTTAATTAAAATTACTATAATTAAAATTACTATAATCAATTTGATAGGGTACTTAATATAATCTTATTAACTGCCATTTAACTTCACAATTATCCTATCTAATGGTTATACTCTTCCCCTACCCTCATTCCTCAAAGCTATTCCCCTCTCCCATTCTCGATGCTCTTATTGGACTGTTCTTCTACAATAGATTATAAATTGGACTTAATTAATTTTCTCTCCATGTTTTTGATTGCATCAGTTGGGTTCTCGGACTTGTGGTGTTACAGCAGTATGGAATTCTGAATTTGATAGCATCTGTTTTTGTCACGCCGTGAAGACTGCCCAAGGAAACCAAATCTCTTGAGGATTCTTGGACTCCTAAAATCAGTATACTTCTTACTTGATTAAGTTTCCTAGTAGGAATATGTTTTGCTTGTGATCTGCTCTCCCCATTCAAAATTTTCCTTTTCAATTTGACCGTGCAGTTAATATCGTCCAAAAGACCATATAGTTGGTGTAAATTGCAGAAAACTAAATGCTAAGGAGATAGAATGCAGAGAGAATTGGTGTAAATGTGGAGGATAAAAAGGGCTGTTTAATATAGTGCAGGAACTGCCATTGATGGTATATTTGTGAAATGCAGGGACATTGGGGAGATGGTAAAAGAGATAAATCGATGAAAATGTGTATAGCAATAGAAAACAATGTGCGAAGGAAAAGCAAAGGATGAAGAAATTGAAATGGGTGAAGGATATGCTTTGGAATGGCCCAGATAATTGAGTCATGTTGTTGTAATGCCAAACTGAAGGCGGGGAACAACTTATACCATTTTATTTTCTTTTTATATAGAGTAGGATAGGATGGTGAAACTGTCACATTTCACCAGAATCGCCGACAGAGTGCGTTCTCCCTATTTCAAACCAATCAACAGATTACTCTCTTCGTCTTCGTTAAATTACTTGCAAACTGGTCACCCCAGCTTATACTCCTACAACAAAGCCATTGGGAATCTAGTCAAATGTGGATCCATAGAGTGTGCCCTCCAGCTTTTCGATGAAATGCCTGAATCTGATGTTATCTCCTGGAACACTGTAATTTGTGGGCTCAATCGATCCGGGTTTCCGGGGAAATCTCTTTACTTTTACATGAGGATGATTGGCCAAGGAATAATTGAGAACTCCTCCACGTTCTCGTCTGTTTTAAGCATATGCAGCAATGCCGGTTTTTACAGACAAGGGTTTGAGATGCATTGTAGAGTGATAGTGTTTGGGTTGAATATGAACATCTACATTGTCAGTGCACTTGTTGGTCTGTATATGAAAGTGGGTCTTGTAGATCTTTCTTTGAAATTGTTTTATGACTTGCCCGAAAGAAATTTAAGTATATGGAACGTCGTATTGCGTGGAATCTGCAACTCAGGTAGGTCAAATGAGTTATTGAAATTGTACACCGATATGAAGTTGGAAAATGTGGAGCCTAATGAGCTTAGTATTTGTTATATGCTCCGTGGTTGTTGTAGCGGGCGACTTCTTCTTCAAGGGAGGCGAATGCATTGTTTTGTGCTGAAGAATGGGTGGTTGGTGACCAATTTGTTTATAGCTAACCATTTAGTCGATTTTTATTCTGCTTGTGGGGTCTTAAGTGATGCCTGGAAATTGTTTGTGGTTATCCCACCAGAAGATGTGATATCATGGAGTTCAATGGTTTCTTGCTTTGCTTCCAACGGGCTTTTACACGATGCCTTACAAGTCTTTCAAAAGATGCAATCTTTGGGCAAGACGCCATCAGCTCAATCTTTGTTGGGACTTTTAAATGTATCAATTGCGGGAAAACATACGCTGCTTGGAGAGCAAATTCATTGCTTTGTCCTAAAACTGGGATTTGATTATGGAAATGTCCTTATTCAGTCAGCTTTGATTAACATGTATGGAAAATTCCGCAACATTGAGAGTTCGGTGCTTTTATTTGAGAACATCCCCGACCCCACTCTTGAATGTTGCAACTCCTTGATGTCATCTCTACTGCATTGCAACATCATAAAGGACGTATTTGATTTGTTCTGTTTCATGGTTGAAGAAGGCATTGGATTTGATGGGGTGACTCTGTCCTCCACGCTTAAGGCATTATCACTGTCGGCTTCTGTAAGCGTGAATAGCTGTGGTTTACTGCACTGCTGTGCAATAAAGTCGGGGTTCGTATATGATATTGGAGTAACTTGTTCTCTGATAGACACACATTCGAAATCTGGTCACCTCTCGCGCTCTCAACAAGTTTTCAGGGAGCTTCTTTCACCTAATGCCATATGTTTCACGGCTATGATCAACGCATATGCAAGGCTAGGGAAGGGAAGCGAGACGCTTATGATGTTTGAAGCCATGATCCGGGAAGGCCTGGAACCCGATGAAGTAACATTCCTGTGTGTGTTGATGGGCTGCAGCCACTCGGGCATGGTGACCGAGGCGAGAACAGTGTTTGATTCAATGAGCACTGTTCATGGAATCAGTCCGGACCGGCGGCATTATTCATGCATGGTGGACCTTCTGGGCCGCATTGGCTTGGTGAGCGAGGCAGAAGAGTTAATTCAAAGCGCAGCACTTGAGGGAGATTCTGTCCTGTGGAGCTCGCTCCTACGTAGTTGTCGTACTCATAGGAATGAGCAAGCAGGAAGGAGAGCTGCAGAAAAGCTGATGAGACTTTGTCCGGATTCCCCTGCTGTTTGGTTGCAAGTCTCAAACTTTTTCTCCGAAATCGGCGATTTCGATGCATCGGTGCAGATTCGGGAGGTCGCAGTAGCAAGGAAGCTGAGTAGGGAAATCGGGTACAGTTTAATTGATAATGAGCAACAAAACTAATGATCTCGCTCAAGCCCTCATTTGCTCTTTTGTTTTTTGGTAAAGGCCTAATCAAACTTATCTCTCGGTTTCACATTTTTACCAAATTGCATGAACACGTCTACTACTACATCTATATTAAACCTTAGATCCGATCCATAAGATCACTGTGAGCCTTCTTTGGTAACTAGAATATTATTAAGAAACGGAGCAAGTATTTGGATAAGTTTATTGAAACGGCCTTTAAGAAGGACTAGTTTGCCACACTCCACTAAAGACATAAACATGTACATAGATTAATATCAATCCAACATCAAGGAAAATTACCAAGTGAAGACTAGAACATTCTCCATATACTAAAATAGACTCTCATTAATTTTAATCAAAATATGGCATTAAGAGCAATACACACATCCCAATTAGAGTTCATTATCACTTAAACCTCTCCTTAGTAATCCTAGTGGGGTATAATGTTTGGGAGAGCTCCTTGGATAAAAGTAAAAAAGTATGAAAACACCAAAATGGAAGTCCTAAGTCTTTTAAGATCAAAATAGAAAATCACACTGCCACACATATTGCATTGTCACCCTGCAAGGGGTATAATGGGGCATAATGTTTGGGAGAACTCCGTGGATAAGAGTAAAAAACAAACATGAAAACACCAAAGTGGAAGTCCTAAGTCCTTTAAGACCTAAATAGGAATTCACACTGCCATTGTTACACTGTCATACTTACCGCATGGTCACACACCAATTGCTACACTATTATCTATCACTGCTGGTCACCAGAGTGTCACCACCGATCGTGGACCGGCCCACCGCCGGTGGTCGACTAATCATACTGCCATATTGCATTGTCATCATTTTTTCATCCTAATGCCACCCTCTTACATGACGTTGCCATTATACTCCTATTTTGGTCTTAAAAGACTTAGGACTCCTATTTTGGTGTTTGAATACTTTTTATACTTATCCAAAGAGATCTCTTATAATGTTTTGGAAATAAGAACTCTAATCAAACCAAACAAAACAAATCTTCAAATTTGGTTCTCGTGTTTGGTTTTTTATCACAAGTCCTGGCTGTCAAAATCCTATCTGTCACCTTTTTCTCTGTTGCACTTGAAAATCAAAGTACAACAACGGGATGCTCATGCTCTAACTTTCTCTTCAATGGAGAAACACTAATTTTGTGTAAATGCATTGAAAAGCTTGATGGTATTTCCATTTTCAGAGCTTGAGATGGAGAACTAACATTGATAAGTTGAATTCGGGCTCTAAAAGGTATGAACCATGAGTCCTTATTGTCTTCTACTTTTCAACACGTTTCATAGCTTCTTTCTTCCCGGTAGTTTTCTTTTACTTTTATATACATATATATATCTCTTTTTTACGTGCTATAGCAGTGTCTAAATAAACATGTACCCCTTTCTGGTGGCAGGCATTACTTCTCTGGTGCGAGGTTTCAGATATGGTGGTTTCCATTAGTGCCGTGGAGCATCATCTTCTGCAGTATCGATTCAAGGACAAGAGGCTTCTCGAAGAAGCTCTGGCTCACCCTTCCTATGCTGACTCACCCCTTATCAGTGTCTGGAGTTCCTAGGCGACATGGCTCTAGGCTTGGCCTTCTCAAGTTTCGTCTTCTTAACCTATCCTCAGCTTGACCCCAGATAACTCTCTCTTCAGCGTGCCGCCAACATCAGCACCGAGAGGCTTGCTCGAGTAGCAGTTGATAACGCCCTCCTTAGGTTTTTCCGCCACAGTTCTGCTCTTGGTGAAAAGGTATGGACATTGTTTAGCAGACCATCCGAACTCAACCATGATCATCCACATTAACTGTATTCCTTCGAATATAGATTGGATTTGATTTACATTTGAAAATTGTCAGTTAGTTTGAAATAGTTGATTTTATTAATTGATATTTGACTGAATTCGGGTTAAATAGGTCACGAGTTTGTGATGGCGGTCCAAGAAGAGGACGAGACTCAGTTCTACGGTGGAGCTATCTAAGCTCCCAAAGTTTTTACCTACATTGTAGAGTCCATAGCCGGATCCGTGTACGTGGATTGGCGGTTCAATTTGTACAATCTTTGGCTGGTGTGTATCTATTGTTTTTCATTCTATGTTCTGAGTTTTCTTGATTGTTAAGCAGTACAATTTCTGATAATGACTCCATGTTCTAAACAATTTCGCATTGCTTGTCTAATATTTGCATATATGTACTCTCAAGTGGTGTGTTTGGCCCCTCAAACAATGAAAGCAGAGTTTGGGCAGGTTTTTTTCTGATCAGAGGATCATGACTGTTTCAACCTATGATTTTAGATTTCATTAGAAAAAATTTAAAGTTGTAGTGTTAGGTGTTAATTGCATACATGTTTTCTAAGTTATGTCTCCAACTAGATTACTTTCTAAGTATTTGTCACTTTACAAGAGCTAAAAAAGTCTTGTTTGAAGATATTACATAATTAGGTTTAAAGAATCAATCTAGAAGTTAAGATTACAATGAAATCTTCCTGTGTGTTTTTTTTAAATTCTCAAATTCATGTTTCAAGCTTCTCTTTGGTTGATTTTGGTGATAAAGGCTTTGCTGCTGTTGTTGATAAATGCATTCTAGCTCATTTTAGTAGATTAGTCTATTTTCTATAGAACAGGGTTAGATTCAACTTTTTGATCCTTTTATTGAACAATATGCTGTTTTGCTAATAATGTAATACGAAACATTTAAAATATGAGGTACTGTTGAGTCGAAATGGTATATTAAACATGAGAGGTTGGAAAGCGCTCCACTTTATGGGTTCCTAATTTTATTTTCCTGATGAACAAGTCATTTTACCCTCTTTGACTCTTGACATGTTATTTTTATTTTTTATTTTTATGTTGAGCACTTCTTTTACTCTTGAAGGGAGATTGAATTAAAAAATTCACTAAATATTTGCTTGTTATGTATTGTGTTGGTTTTGACGTCCTGATAATTCTGCTTTGCTATGCATTTTATTGACGCGTCTCTATGTTTTTTTTGTGCTTTACCAAAGGGGAGAAATATAGCGGGCTTTAAGTATGGATGAACATATAATCATATTTGGGCGCATGGCTTGTGTAAATTTATTCTATCCTGTATGTCATGTTGTCTCTTATGAGAATATTTTCAACATAAAAGCAGAGAAAATTTTAAAAACATTGATTTTAATGTTTAAAAATAGTGTAGCTAACCGAAGCCCGTTCTTTCTTGCATATTTGCAAACAGTTTTTTGACTATCATCGTGGCATCTTCATTTGGATAATTTGCTTGAAATTCAAGTCAGGGTCTAATTTTTATAGTAGTAAAGAACAAAATTGTGGGATATGCTTTCCTTTTCTTTAATGAAGAAGCTTTTATTGATCATCAAGGAGTACAACTGAAAGTACAACAAAAGAAGCCAACAAAACAGAGAGTACAAAGAGAACATATAAAACTAGTCATCAATAGATCTCTTTCCATGCTTCCAAAATTGATCCAAGCCCGTCTTTAATGTCTTTCTCAAAAAGCATCCAATTCTTCTTTCTGTTTGTATAGCTCCAAGTTTGAATCAAGTATATGATGCTTTGAATTATTCTCTTGATATGTGGCTTCCTTCCTTCAAAAAAATTCCTGTTGCACTCCTTCCAAACTGTCCAAGCAATGAAACCTGGGATAATCTATCTAAGCTTTGCTCAGGTTCTTGCTTCGACTTCTTAACCACCATTCCAACATATGGAGTCTAAGGGGAGTTGTGTGATATGCTTTCCTTATAGTATATTGCTAATGTATCATTTTAATTGGATTTATGTCGATGAAGTTTGATTGATTTTGCTTGACTTGTTTCTTAACCTGAACATGACTAGGAAAAGGCAAATTGTTTGTGTATTTATGCATGAATTGCATATGATATCTATTTCATTATGGTGCTAGGTCAATGCACTTGGAGAAAAAAGTTGCACATTACAGATGCAGAGAACTCTGCTGCCTATGCCATGCTTTGTTAGCCTGAAAGATGCATGAGAATGCCATTTGATTCTTCTCTGAAGACGGAGCACTGTCTCCTATGATATTCACATGGATTTCTCACCCAGCTCAGAATCATAATAACATTGGCTATATGAAATGAGGTATTTCATCTATCATCATGGGGTAGAAGTCCATTTGAATGAATGATTATCTTCCATTTTGAACTGCTTTTTTCATCTATCATGGAGGAAGTTAGATCTTTATGTGAATGCCTTTGTAATTTCACACTCCAATTACATTTGTACCTCTCTCTATATGAATATATAAGTTCAACTTTAACCTCACTATGAGAATGCCTATATTCTTTCAATTTAACTTTATCCTCACTATGAGAACTCAGATTTTTTCGCTTCTTATTTTATTAAACAAGTCGTATCTTGCTCGACCAAAAAACAAATTTTATGATTATATCAAACGTGGTAAGACCCCATGCTTGCCAAACATTCTCATCTCTGTAAGTCTGGGACATTAATATTTACTTATTTGCTTTCTCAAGTAGAATATGTCACGATTAGTACATTTACAAAATATTTTATTGGTTTCACAATCAATAACTTTTCTCTACAAGGTAAATGATACTCCGGTATAATTTACCAAATTCTACACAAATATTCACAGAGATGCTTAAATGTTAACAAACAATCAATTCACACAAGAGTAAAGGGTTAAACAAACTCAATATTTTGTCAAACATCTTAAACTTTACTTTTACAAATAAGAAATTGCCATATAATAAAAATTTATGTAGATTTAAGTTATTATCTAAATTTAGGTTATTTTTTTTTAAAAATAAATTATCTTGATTAATTATACTCCCTGCGAAGTCTTTTTACTTTCTATTAAGAAGTCAATATTATCCATACTGATTCATAATTTGGATATCACATCATATCTACTTAGGCTAAGGGTATGCATTCATTTTCCTTCTCTTCTTCTGTCAACTTTTCCCTTTTCCTTCCCCTTTCAAGGGTGTGCATCCCCTTCCTTTCCCCCTCCCATTCAAATTTTTAATATTATTTTTTGCACTTAGTTTAAATAGAATAATTAAACTAAAAATATAAAATACAAAAAAAAAACTAAATTAGAATTTAAATTGAACATTTCTTTAAAATAAGAAATAAAACAATAGTCCTCTAAAAAATATGTAAATAAAAGTGTGCAAAACAATATATACTAAGAAATTTATATTATTTTTTAATATTTAATATAATAAAATATAATTAAACAACTGCAATAATAACAACTCTATTGAATCCCACAAAAGTAGAGTCTGGGGAGGGTCGCAGACCTTACCCCTACTCTAAAGTAGAGAGACTATTTCTAAAGAGACCCCTGTCTCAGCATTGAAAGTTGTATTGATTGACTAACTGCTAATTCATTATTTAAAGAAGCACAAATTATTTAGGGATTCATTTTACTTTATTCCACCACACTTTAAAGTTAAAAAATAATAAATTTTTGGCTCCATTCGAGATGATGGAAATAAAATACAAAATACAATTAAGTAGTACTCCCTCCGTCCTGTTTTAAATCGACCATTTTGACTTTGGGTCATATTTAAGAAAGAGAAAAAATGTAGTTGACTTTCCGAAATTATCATTATATTTTAGGAGGGGTGAGGATGAATGAGAAGATAAGGTGGAGAAGAGTAACTTATTTTAGGGGTAGTTTAGGTATTTTACTCTTAAAAATTTACGATAACAAGAAACAGACAACTTATTTTGGGACGGAGAAAAAAACAGACAATTTAAAATGGGACAGAGAGCCCAAAATTCACTGGAAATGGGTTTGAAGCCCCGGGGCTTCAAATTGGGGCTTCAAACCTTCATTTTTTACATTTTTAAATATACATCTTCTAAAATTAAATTAATAAAATGTAATTAATTTATTATTTAATTAAATTGAAACACGAATAATAAAAAAATACATTAATTAAATAAAAAAAAGCGACAATAATTTAAAAAAAGATACATTAATAAAAAAACTAAGGTAAATTATATTTCTCCTTGATCTCTCTCATTCTTTGCTCGTAGATCATTAGTCCAAACTCCGACAACGCCCCGGGGTCGGTTTGCATGACTTTCATCTCGGCCTCCTGCTCCTTTAGCTTCAACTCCTTCTCCTTTAGCTTCAACCTCTCTTGTTCTCGGAGATTGAACGCCCGAAGTTGTTCAACCATTTCCCGGCCGATTTCGTCGCGGGAAGAAGCGGAAACAGAGGCGGACCCTCTCGAACCAGAGGCAATGGATTTTGCCTTCTTTCTTCCGATCGGCCGTGGAATGGGGTCCTCGTCATCGGAATCCGCAACGTTGAAGGGAGGGATTTGATCGGTAGAACCGATAGTCTCGTCGACCTCAACCTCGGCATCGACGGTGGATCTTTTCCGCAACGATCCGCCGTCGGGATTGTTGAGTTGTTGCCACTTCGGGGAACGACTCAAAATCCTCCAAAGATCGATGGGCACCATGCCTTGGTGCCCGTCGTCTTGATACCGGGTCGTGGCAAGCTAGAGAACATCGTCATCATTCGTGCTGCTCCTCCAGGACCGGGAGCATTCCTCGTAAACTCCGATAAACTTTCAGACTTTTTTGTTGATGTGGCTCCATTTGGAAGTGAGTTGGTCCCGGGTTCGGTAGGAGCCGTCCTTCTTCATCGCCGTGAAAAACTTCTCCTCGATACGATCCCACATCGCATCCTTCGTTTGCTTCGTACCTTTAAAAATGTATTACACAATTTTTTTAGAGACCATTAAATATAATATATATAAATAAAAACATAAATATATTAGAAAAAATAAATTTTTTACCAATGATAGGATCCTCGGAGACGTCAACCCAAGCCGACGCCAATATGCACTCCTCCTCCGGCGTCCACTTTTGGATTGACCGTGCCGCCTCGGTCAACGTGCTTTTGGCTTTTCCGGCGTATACTTTTTTTCGACCCGGACGGTTCCGGTTGAGTCTCCGGAACCGAATCTCGGTCGACGTACCCCGATTGTTGTGTCTCGTACATCGGCGGTCCATCGCCCAACTCTTGGTAATACCACATCGCGGCGTCGACGGGCGCGAGATTGTCGGGAAAGAAGCCGGAGCCGGAAGGATTCATGTTGAAAATTGGGAGGGGTGGTTTGAATTTTGAAATTTAAAAATTGGGAATAAGAAGAGATTGAAGATGGAGATGGTGTGAGATATTGGGAAGGGGGGGTTTGAATTTATAATAAATTTTTTTTTTTTTGAA